CTCACTTTGCCCTTCATCTAACTACCACTTTTTCAAACAAAGCATATATCAAAATAATTAAAATTATAATCATTTGAAAAGACACTAATATCACATAACAGTCATAATAATAAACAAAGTAACAGTAATAAAATTCAATATTAGAGTCTATCCATTTTTTTTAGCAAAGTATGTTTTTTAAATTATAATTTATAACATTATTATGAACTAGTACAGTTTTGTTGAGGCGTGCGAGTTGTCGAACATCTGCGACCAATTAGATCGCCCTTGATCATTCTCATCCGCCTTGTTCTTTCCATACTAATTTTCCCGTTTTATCATTTTCAGTGGATGTTCGATAAATGACCACTTAAATTTCAAGTTCAAGTTGGTGATCAGCGAGTGGAAGGTCTCATGTTAGACTAAGATATAAATTTGCTGGGTCCCCCTATTCTCGCTTGTTGTTCATTCCCCAATTTTCTCATTAAACGTTTATTTTTGTTATACCAGAAACTGTATAGCAAAAAAATCCATTAGGCTTTAGGAAACCGCTGGAAAGTAAGCAAATTCCAAAGAATTAACAAAGATCATTCATTAAATCCGAACAAAGAGTACAGTTTTTTGTTTGCAAGTGAACTTTTGTACAAATAAGAAATACATTCAAAGACAAAAAAAGTTGTATTTATGTATATTAAATTTATATAAATTTATTTTACAATAACTAGGTATAACGATTAATAAAAGGGGGCGTCGGTGGCCGGACGGTATAGGCGTTGACACGGCGTACATCACTGTAAAGTTTTCGGGTTTGAATCCAGCGGCCCGACATACTTGCAAATTGTTGACTTAAAACATAAACACAACATTAGCAACTTGTTTCATTTTATAGAGTGTTACTGATTCTTTTATATACTTTTAGATTAAAAATAAATTTCAATTAATTAAGGGTTTTAGTTGAGATAAAAAAGTCAGTGAACCCACTGACTTTTTTGGGTCTTTATTTTTATCTCAACTAAAAACCTTAATTAATTGAAATATATTAATTGGTCAAGCGGACCACGAAAACTAGTGGAATTAAAAATAAAGAAAATCAGTTCAATTTCATCATTTCTAGAGCCACCTTGTTGAACGAGTTAATTGGTTTTTTAGCTGAAACAATAAATTTGAACAAAAAATTAATTTTTTTTTCTTAAAAGAAAGGTTTTAAGTTGAGAAAATCTCGCCTGGACAGATACTCCAAAACAGTTACTAGAAGGCTTTGTGTGAATAGCCAAGTCTCTAGACGTCCATCAGGTTCTCTTCTACAGGAAAGAAGGCATCGAGTAGAAAGGCCGGTTGGGTTTGTTGCAACTCTGAAATAGTTTTCCTTTCAAATTGTCTCAGATTTTCTTTCGAAAACCGCAAATATGCCGATAATCTTTAAATCTACCGATCCATAGGAAACTACATGAGTTTAGACCCCTATATACTACACGCAATGGTATAAACTTAGCCTCCAAAAATAAAACGTGAGATATAAAATAAAACGTTTGGGCAATTTATGTTGATTTCGTCTTGATTTTTCTTTTTTACTTATAATAGATATATTATACAGGGTGAATTGCTACTCGTGCTACAAACTTCTCCAGTAGATTCTTCACCCTAAAATGAACAAAAAAGTTCATATTGTCCATGGTCCGATTCTCAACCATTTCAGAGTAATTTCGCTTTTTATCGATTTTGAAAGATATCACGTCCTGGCGTCGGAAAATCGTGATATCTTTTAATCTAAACATTTCTCTGAAAATCTAATAGCACCGTTGAAATTCCCGTTAATTTTTCAATAAGAAGATGACGGTGGCAAAATGTTTGGGCTAATTTTTTGTGTTTTATTTCAGCCAGAACTACAAAAAGAGTGGAAAATTGTGTAAATCGGAAAGTGTATAAAGTAATCCAGAGTTTCTAATTTTAGTCTCAGAAGGCAGCAAATTTGAGGAAAACTACCTGATTTAATAACGCTTCCAACGCACTCGTCATTTTCTTATTTAGTGGTTGTGAGACCAAGATGTTGATGACAAAAAGAGAAAAAATGGTGGTTCAAGGATTGCTAATGTTTGAGAGTGACTTGCTACTCGTGCTACAAACTTCTCCAGTAGATTCTTCACCCTAAAATGAACAAAAAAGTTCATATTGACCATGGTCCGATTCTCAACCATTTCAGAGTAATTTCGCTTTTTATCGATTTTGAAAGATATCACGTCCTGGCGTCGGAAAATCGTGATATCTTTTAATCTAAACATTTCTCTTAAAATCTATAAGCACCGTTGAAATCCCCGTTAATTTTTAGAGAGAATCAAAATCATAATTCCATTGAAATTTTTTAATTTAATTTAATGCCCATTTAGTATGTAATGCTTAAGAAGTTTACAAACAGCTAGAAGGTCAAGGAAGAAAGACCCAAACGTTTTGCCACCTTCATCTTCTTATTGAAAAATTAACGGGAATGCACTTGTCCTCAAATGTTTTGCCTTCCAAATTGTCTCAGATTTCGTTTCGAAAACCACTAAAATGATGATAATTTTAAAATGCTTCTACCTATCTGTAAGAAACTTTACATGGGTTTAGACCCAAATATATTACACGTAATGACATAAACTTAGTCTCCGTAAATTAATTAGAATGCGATATGTAAAATTAACGCTTGAGAAGTTTCTATTGATTTCGTCCTTGTTTTTCTTTCTTATAATGGTTCAAACGTATATATTTTTTAAAACAAGAATCGAAGTATAAATTCGTTTTCTGCTCCCCAAAACGGCCCTGTTCACTGATTTTTGAGGAAACTATTTTTTTTTTAAATATTTTGCCTTCTAATTGTTTTTCGATAACCACAAAGTTGCTTAGAAATTTGAAACGCTACCATCGATCCATGGTAAACTTAAGATGAGTTTAGAACCCGATAAACTGCACGCAATGTCACAAGCTAAGCCCCCATAAATAAATTAGAATGGGTTTTGAAAAATGAAACGTTTTGGGAATTTCTGTTTTTTTTGTCCTTGTTCCCCCAAAAACTCCTGAAAATAGATTTTTGAGGAAAATTTTTTTTTCCTTAAATCTTTTGATAAAATCGAAACATTATTAATAAAATCTGAAATAGAAAATATTCAGCAGTATATCAGTTATTACAACGTTGAATTGGGATAAAATTAAGAGGTTTTATTTGTTTTTAATTTGGACACCGGACATCAGAGAATAAATAAAATTGCCACTGTCTAATCATGCTCAAAAATATTTAAGGTAGTTAAAAATGATTAAAACGAACCATAATTGTTTTAGTTTTTCTTTTCGTTTTTGTAACCTTTTAAATTTCAAATCGTTTAATCCGCTTTTTTTTTTTTTTAATGGCTTTATGTTCTGAGCATAATAGCCAATGACAATGTTATTATGCGTATTCGCGTATTCGTTTTGGGTGGAGGGGGGAAGGATAGCGTGAAAAAAAGGCCAGAGGCGACGGTGGGAATCGAACCCTACGACCGCGGGATCTACGAGCCGAGAGTCTCTCACGCTAACCACTCGGCTACCGCGGCCCCAAAAAAGCACTCAAATTACTTAAAATATTTTTCTCTCGTCTCCTGAGCCTCCTAGGCCCATAAGCAAGAAAGCTAGGAGACAATCTAGCCTTAGTTAGGTATAAAACACCCTAGATCTAGCTCGTTTTGGAAAACTAAATATCGATAAATAGTGATTTTTTATAAGTGTCCATAAGTGATCATAAATGTTATAATTGTTCATAATTTCGCTAAAGAATATTGCTTTACGTTTATCAGTTGGTAATTCAACTTTGATTCTGATCATTGCCATCATTGTTTCTCTAATATATTTAGCTTTAAATGAAACACAATTGTTTTTTTGCCTACTTTAGTGGAAGCTTCTTTTCGGTTTTGTAACTTTTTATATCTCAACTTATTTAATATGATCCTCAATATATTTTAAAATCCGAACTAATAAAAATAAATAAATCGCCTGATATCGTACCTAACCTTATCTTAAAGGAAAAAACTACATTTTAAAAAATTTGTTAAAATATAGTTTTTTTTCGGCGCCTAGGACTCATTGGCAAGTTTACTCGGACGTATTTAATATTTTTCGGCCTAGTATCACCAAAAAAGTTATTTTAAAGTGGTTGAAGTAAAAACCCTTATTTACAAGTTGCTGTGTATGTGTATTGCTGTGATGGTTGGTATGCATTTGTTCATACTTCAGCTTTCAACGTGTCAAAGACTGATTGAAAATTTTTAGTGTGAATTAGTTAGAGAACCCGAACGTTTTGAAAGACTGCCGAAGTTGGCTATGCCCAATGCCTCCATCCGCCTCTTCATTCAATGAGGAGACGTGACCCACTGCACGTTCCACGGGAATCATATAAGGGCCGGCTGTTGTTCTTTTATGCACTCCATGTTCACTCTCTCCGACAACAAGATTCCGTCCTGTTAATAATTGCACTCGCACCAAGGAGCGAAAATGGCTGTAAAGATGTTCCAGTTAAAAATAAAGCTTTTCCTTAGGCTTAACCACTTAAGATGGAGAAGTTTGAAATTAGTTAAATTTTAAATTCTTACACGGATTTTTAGAAAATAAATTATATTTATAAAGTAATTGTATAAAGTAAAAACTAATAACATAATTTTATTATAAGGCTCAGTGATAATTAAATTTGAACGACTTATAGACTATAAATCCCTTATACATATGTTACATATACGCACACATGAAAATATAACAAGAAATATAACAAAGCTTACACACGTAGGCATAATTTCACATACATTTTTAACCTATGAGAATAATCTAGACATCATTCAAATCATCACTGTCACTTCGGTTTTCAAAATGTATAAATGTACAAAACAAGATACGGTTTAGAAGAAACAAAAATGAATATTTGATAACAAATTTAAACCCCGTACAATATATTCTTACTAGTATAACATAGGCGCATTATGAAATAAAAAAATATCTATCAAAGAATATTATATACAAAATGGTGCAAATAAAAAAATAACATACTGTTACCATTTATTACGTAGAAAGAGCCATAGAAACAGAAATTCTCTTTTATATATCAATTTAAAATAACAACAAAAAATAAATGAGAAAAAAAATCATAATGCCTAATAACTCTCAATTTAAACATCAACAAAAACATTTCCTTCAAAATGCATTAGGAAATTTAATAAAATGACCATTTTATCAACAAACTAATTACAATACAACAAAGGATAAACATTTCAGTAACAATTATTGCTGGCAGATATAACAAAATGTTTGCTACTTAATATCCTAATTTCATCTAACCCGATATTTTGTTAGCATAGTAAATTTTATATTTAAATTGTAACAAACGTCAATGAGCTTATTACAGAGCGTAAAAACTATTCTCATCCATTACTACTTTTTCTCTTAAATGTAGAAAAAAATGTCTTTTAAATCGTTAAAATAGCTTAAAGTGTAATCTAGCTCGGAACTGTAAAACTATTACACATCAAGGCCGGGTTCTTGCTTGAAAGAATATTGATAATCTTGTGTTGATGTTGAAATATCTCTGAGAACGGTGTTGGATCCTTGAGGTGGGCTGTGCACAGGACTCAAACCATTTTGACTTTCTGGTGAACCACCGGAACTGGGATAATTGACTATGTTCATGGGAGTTGAATTTGTCTGACCGTTCGCAGCGGGGACATCGGGCGCTCCTGAAAAATTCCAATTCCTTTGTAAAACGTCTTCTTTCAAAAGGTATCGAAAAAAGTTTCTTATTTTATATTAATATAATAGCATAATTTAACAAGGAACAAAATCAAAATCTCACCTCCCAAAAGCATTTCCTGTAACAGACTATCAATCTTAGCAACTCCGAACAGCTTGGCAAACTGAATTTGTTCAATCATTTGTGACGTTATGGACTGTAATGCTGGCAACGTGAGAAGTAGTTCTCCAAAACGGCCACGAGAATCATACTGTCTATCACTTATATAATCTTCCAGATTTATTTGAATTTGGTATCTCAGAAACTTCACTTTGCCCGATTCAGTTAGTCCTTTGGCATCTGTAGAACAAATATAAAGACAATATATTTAATTTTTAAACCACCATTTAGGTAATGGGTTGGTGCAAAATTTATTTTGAGGTTTTCAAAATTTGTTTTACTTTCGCAGGTGCTTGTCGTGTATACAAAGTTAAACCCTTAAATCTAATTTATGGATTATAATCTTTTATACAAAACATTTTACTTTATTAAATCTATTAGGTTTCGTGGTCCGATTGACCAATTAAATTCTTTTCAATTAATTAATTTTTAAGTAAGGTATTGGTCGAGATAAAAAAAGTCAGTGCTACGAGCGGGATTCGAACTCAAGACCTTCGGCTAAATACGCCGCTGCTTTACCACAGTAGATTACACGACATTTGAAAAAAATGGCAAAAAAGGACGGAAAAATTCAAAAAGGTGAGGTTGAGATGGGAAGTTGGTGTCCGAGCGGATCGAAGTCTAGATATTTAGCGGAAGGTCGTGGGTTCGAATGTCGCTCGTGGCACTGACTTTTTTAACTGGACCAATACCTTACTTAAAGATTTCAGTTTATATTGAATTTTATTAGGGTGAGGTCCTGCGAAATTAAACATGTCCAAACTAGATGTTTGTCAAATTAATTCGTTCGAATTTAAACATGGGCGAAGTGCGGCTCCAACCGCGCGTAACATCAAAACAGTTTTGGTGTATGATAACAGGTCAGTGATTGGACAAGGATGAAGCGCCAAAACACTTCCCGTAACCAAATGTGCAGCCAAAAAGGTTATGATGACTGTTTGGTGGTGTATAATTTCCTGAATTTTGGTGACATTATCACCATTGGCCAACAAATTGACAAAATGTACGGGAAACTGTAACTCCTTTGTCCAGCATTGGTAAACCGATTCTTCTTCACGATAACGCCAGGCCACATGTCGCAAGACCAACCCTGTGGAAAGTTAAGGCTTAGGATATGAAACCTTACCGCACCCTCCATATTCACCCGACCTCTCACCTACTGTCTTCCACTTTTTTAGCCATTTTGATAACTTCTTGAGGGATAAAAAAAATTATTTTTTATATTCAACCAAAGTATTTCTACTCACTCAAAGTGTTTGTGAAAGCGAGTAGTAATACTTTGATTGAATATAAAATAAATATATATTTTGCATTGTATAAATTCACTTTTCCACATCCTAAATGTATTTGTTAAATGTAAACAATGTTTGTAAATCCCAGGCTCTGAAGATGATCTCAGTAAAGATCGAAACGTTGGCCCGATAAAGAAAATGTTTTTCTGAAACCTACATCACACCAGACCGCATCTCACGATTTCTGAATAATTATCGATTAACGGTCACTAATCACCACACATTCGAAATAAAGATTTTTATGTGAGCGGAATAAAAGTGCTTATTACACGTTTGCAAACATGTATAGATTGTGAAAGAAAATATTTCGAATAAATTTTCCTTATTTTATAAAAATTAAGATTAGTTTGGCTGCCTTTTAAAAACCTGCATTATTGTTGCACCAGCCCAACATTTAGGCAATTACTTACAGACATACAATTAAAATTACTTGTTGAAATACACAACCAAACAAAAAATTCTCTTTTTTTAGAAAATTTTTTTAAAAGAACTGACACTGGATCACTTACTGAGTGATAAACGAATCTGTGAATTGAGGTTGAACTGGGTCCGCATAAATTCGCGGGTTTTGATGTCATTCAAACGGGTTTTGAATTTGCGCCATCTTCAGTGAGGAATTCTGACAGAGTGCGTAAATGACATCGAAATCTCCGAGTTTAGACGGATCTAATTCAACATGTATTCACAGATTCACATGTCCACTTTCTTAACTATTATTTTTTATTTATATGTTTTTATATTACAATTTTATCATGTTTTCCCAACTGTCAATTATATTTAACCGACCGTTTTCAAAAAATAAATTACTCATTTCGCTAAATCAACAAAGTTGTTTTGAAGAAACAGGGATAAACAGTACCTTCAAGCCAAAGAAAATGGGAACACTAAAAAAAACACACATACAAAATAAACATACTTGGATCAAAGAAAACAATCGCTTTCAAACAAGCGAATTCTGTATCATCAATTTGCACTTCCGTCAATGGACGGACAAGTTCATCCATTACACGAGTTCCGACTCTGCTGATGTCCAAATCTGCAGTACCGCCAGCATCTGAAAAATAATTATTGTAAAATTAACAATTGATACAAAAATAGAAAACAATCGAATTCGAGCTTATATTTAGTTTTTATATTTTAAAAAACTCATTGAATTCACTAAAGCAGCATCTTGTTTCCGGTCGAAATAATTAAGTTTTATCGTAATATTAAAAATACTTTTCTATTCTTTCTTTTTGATTTTTCCACCTCTGATTCCAGTGGATATTTGAGTATACATCACACATGTTCAAAAGCGTTATTTTTAAAGTATGATTCTAGCTCAAATAGCCCTGAAGAGGGACTCGTAGTAAAGAGCGAAATACAAAAATAATAAAAACGAATCTCAAAGATGATCTTGGCTATTTTGTAGTTTTCATGAATTCAACAACAACATTTTCACATCCACCTCTGGATGTAAAAATAAAGTAATATAAAAAAATAACGTAAGATAGATGTATTTGCTATTAAGGTACATATAGATATTGGGGGGGACTGCGTTTTCCCTCCATTCTCATTAAAGCGGGAGTCCCACAGGGGAGAATCCTAGAACATTCCTATTCGCCCAGCCGACATTCCTGCTCTCCCTAACTTTTATACGCTCTTGTGCTGATTACCAGCTATCCTGTCATCTGATCCTGATCCTTACCTACGTCCTCATAACATTCAATTCTATTTAAACGTTCACCCATGTCAACTTTACTAACCGAAGAATATACGTTCTTATTACAACGGGGGTCCAACAGAGGCAAATCCTGAGGCTCTTTTTATTCACAATAAACACAGCCGACATTCTTGCTCTCTCTGACAATATTATACGCTCTTTTAGTGATGAAACAGCTATCCTATCATTTAATCCTGGTCGTTACTTAATATTCTACTATATTTTATACGTGATAAAAAGCAAGTATTCCAACTATTTACTGGAACTGTAGCAAAGGATAGAAAATGCTTGTCAATCAATCTCCCATGACTCTATCACTCTGGGCACCGGTGAAGAGTAGTTAAAAAGAGCAAATCTTTTAATTTTTACACAAGGTGGGCAGTTCGAACATGAAATGTGATTAACAAAAAGCAAACCAAGTTTTAGCCATAATTTTGTCATTTTTTGACTAATTTAAAATCCAATTCCACCAATTGCACTGTTGTTTTCGGCAAAAAAAATCTTTAAAATAATCTGTCAGGATGTATAGGGTCGTACGTGAAATTTTGAAGTTGAAATAGCTGATGTACCTTATATAATTTTTTTCCAAAAAAAAGGTAAAAATTTGAATCTAGATTAAAAAATATTACAGTCGTATTTTTGTTTTTTTACAGCATCACCGGTTCAAGAGACATTCATCCGGGCCATCTAAAAAAGACACCTTGTGTTTTCTATATTCTTATTAAAGCGAGTGTCGCACAGGGGAGCATCGTAGGGCTCTTCCTATTCATTATATACACAGCCGACATTCCCCTAGTCGTACAGTCTGTTTTAACGAAAAGTATATTTCAACTTCCTGTGTACTACCTGTGCATATACCTTGACAAGTGATTGACGTGGAAGCGTCATGCACGAAGTCCTAAGTTTCATATAAACGAATTCCAGGTCAGAGGCATGCGAAAAAGATTTATTAAATGATCACCACAGAAACCAACGCCTGAAATATTAAACGTAGGACACGACAGGATTAGAATGATAATAAAACTGCTGACCACCCTGCAGAAAGAAGAAAAAACAGCTGTAACAACCCTGTTGGTGCGAACACCAATGTAGGCTTTCCTACTTCTAGGAGAGGAAAAGCCAAGACATGAGGGATTCACAGGGGAGCCTATAACAAAGTTATGGGATCTGGTATAAAGCTTAACGAAGGGCTGTAGAAAATGATGGAGATTGCACAATAGGCCAATATTGGTCGCAGTGCGCAATGTCGTGAAGAGACCGATTCCTTTTAACCTCAAACTGAACCTTAGTCCAGAAACGACAATACAGAAAACTAACCAATTTACAAATTAATTTCTAGGTTACTTGACCTTAGAACTAACTTACAAACTCACCATCTACCAGACCCTCATGAGATCGATAAAAACCTTACACAAAAATTTAAACTCCACCCCAAAATCTCTCATCCAAGAGCTTTCTTGTCCCAACATTCCTGGAATCCACAAGTAGTTTGAAACAGCTATGATTACATGCATATAAAAGATAGGAATAATTAATAATACAAATTTGAAAAAAAAATAAAAACATTAAATCCGTCATCAAACTTTCGAGGAATGTATCTTCTTCATCTGGGCACCACCAACCCTATGATCAAGAGATCTCCTGAGAGATTGATTAACTCAATAAATTAGTCAATAGTTTTCAACAAAATAAACTATGAATTAAATTATTGTAAAAACATTGCTTACCTGCTGTGTGTCTTGGTATTATGCAATTATTTCCGAGAAGAAGGACGTTTTTCAAGTGTAGAGACCTTCTGGCTAATCCTAAGAGTAAATGCTCACCTGCGTGTGCGCGTAATAAAGCTACCTGATGAAAAAATGAATAATAATAAATACATTAATTTAGAAATAAAACAAGGACTAAATTTATCCTACTTGATCATCGAGTTGAAGCTCTAAGAACGCTGGAATAAATTTGGCCCATTCTACTAAGAACAACAACTGCTGTTTCATTGATTCGCAAACGTCGTTTATTGTTGCGACTTGTTTGTTAGATAAATCATAATCGTGAGACATCTATAAAACCAAGTCAAATGTTAAAGCCCCACGGACATTCGAACTGTTGATACAATATTAGAATTTTTTTTACCTCAAGCGCAGCTCCGGTTTGTCGTGAGAGTATTTCTGCATTCAAAAGAGAATTGACCGAAAGACTATTTCCGATTGTTTGGTCATCATAGCTGTTTCTTCTACAACTGATACGGTCTCTCTCATTTTGCACAGCTGCAATAAAATAGAACATTTTTACATATACATATATACTAATATACATATATTTTACACATTCAGAAAAAGGCGAATGTACTGATAATTTTCAACTTCAATGTATGAAAATCAGTGCGAGAATTAATACGATTGTATTTAATTATTCATTAGTCCCAATATAACTAAAGGAAACACAAAACGAGATATTCAATACTACGTTAAAATTGGAAAGCGGACTCAAATAGTCACTGCCGTGCTCATGTGTAATTCTCATATCAGGTGGTATGGTATTATTACACGCTCTCTGTAAAGAGCCAAGCTAAAAAAGTTCAATTAGGTGAGACACATCGAGCAACCTTTCTCAGATGAGTCAACCTCATAATCGAGTGAGGATGATCCTTATTCCCCGCTTAACCTGATAAGTCATACTCCCACTCATAGGCTTTCATCTATATCTGTTCGTACATATTTTGGCATTAGTTAACCAATTTAACAACGTGAGATGGTTTCGTCTGTAATTAAATTAAGTTTTTTTCACATTTTTAGCTATAGCAACTAATCGTGAGTCGTCGACAAATCAAAAAAATGTGCTTTATTAAATTTTGTCTGTTTAAGGGAATTTTTTTAGATGGTTTAGATATATTATAAAAAGACTAGGACCCAGTAGAGACACCTGGAGAACCTCTTATTCTATAAATCAATGTTAGTCTGGAACTGCCAAAATACCCTAAAAATTGAGATCAACGAGTATATTTTTCTTTCTATAATAACCCCGAGTAATGTCGAGAATTCTGAGGAAGCGTGAATAATGTCTGGCATGGATGTAATTTATTTATTTATTTTATTTATTTATTTATTTTTTTACGAGGGTTCGCAACAGCAGAGGTCATATAAACCCTCAGGGTGCCGGTGTTTAAAAAAAAGCCCATTTGTAAGTATGTCAGATTCGAATGAAGGGCCGCTGGATTCGAACCAGGGACCTTTACCTTACAGTGATGAGCGCCGTGTCAAAGACTAAACCTTGCGGCTACCGACGCCCCCCAGATGTAATTTATTATCGCGAATGGAGCGAATTCCCCCTTATTACCTCGAGCAATATAGAATACGCTTGGGCAATGGGAATGAAGTTTGGCGTGGTTGTAAATTATTGTATTTGCATAAATGGAAGGGATATTTATAAATTTTTATAAACCTGTGAAATATCAAATACACTGGGGCAATGTGAATGACGTCTGGTGTGTCAATATAATTCATTCGATTAATTAAGGATTTTAGTTGAGATAAAAAAGTCAGTGTCACGAGCGGGATTCGAACCCACGACCTTCGGCTAGATGCGCCGCTGCTCTACCACTTGTGCTATCGTGACTTCTATCCACTCAGACATTAACTTCCCATCTCAACCCCACCTTTTGAATTTTGCCTTCTTTTTGCCATTTTTCAATTTATCTTTCAATTTATGTAGTATATAAATATACTAAAAACCTTAATTAATTGAAAGATATTAATTGGTCAAGCGGACAACGAAAACTAGTGAATTTAATATGTTAAATGAAGTATAACTTCATTAACAGCTCTCCGTGGCCATTTCATTTGTCGCCGAGAATCGAAACCTGATTACAGGACATTTGAAAAATGGCAAATTGGAGGGAAAATTCAAAAGGTGGGGTTGAGATGGGAAGTTAGTGTCCGGGTGGATCGAAGTCACGATAGCTCAAGTGGTAGAGCAGTGGCGTATCTAGCCGAAGGTCGTGGGTTCGAATCCCGCTCGTGACACTGACTTTTTTATCTCAACTAAAATCCTTAATTAATTGAAAGATATTAATTGGTCAAGCGGACTACGAAAATTAGTGAATATAATTCATTCGCCTGAATGGAAAAGCTTCTTCCTTTGTTACTCCTACATATCGAGCATTCTAGTGCAGTGAGGATAAAGTCTGGCGTTGGTATAATATATTAGCATGAATTGATGCTATTCTCCCTTATTAATTCGATACAGATCGACTATTCTAGGGCAGTGTGATTGTTAACCAAACTAACGTGTTTTTAAAAACATATATTTTTATTATATGTGTAAAATTTATTTTATATGTGTAAGAAAAACAAAAGATTCGGCTACCCTAACACCCAAAGCCTAATTCACATGAATATAACTTGGCTGCAGTATCAGAACTGAATGAATTAGAAGGAATAAAATGATTGAAGAATAAGGACAGCAAATAATGAGAGGGCCACTTTAAAACTATTCACTAAACAATTATAAGATAATTAATAATGATGATGCGTGATAATTACTAAAAATAATTATAATTCAACATACTTAATGAGACTTTAGGCATGGTTAACATCATATTAAATTTAAAGGTCTTAAAATTTTGTTAAGCAGATAATTATCTCCCATCAAACAAGTTCTCAGTTTTGGAATTAGACAAATTACGCTAATTACTTTTAAGACGCTTACATTATTTAATTAATTGTTATACGAGTGAAATTCGTCATTTAAAGCTAAGTAATAAAGTATTAGGTTTTTATTTGAAACTTACCCTCTTTCTTCATTCCGGCTTTGAAACATTTCCGCAGTCTGCAATATCGGCATTGATTCCTTTTGTCTTTATCGACCACGCAGGTTCTGCTGAATCTGCAAAATTAGAAATTTAATAAATAAATGACTGTTTTAATAATGGTTCTGGATGATGTGAACAAAAGATGTAATTTTCCGAAATGAAATTATAAAATTGAAAAAAAAATAAGCTAGATTAATTTAACATTGATATATTAAGTTAATATTAATAGAAGATGTGCCAGGATGACAGGTATATTTTTCTCATTAGGTAGGTACGTTCTGCTTATTTGCATTACAGCCACGTGCCGAAACTCGGCATATTCGCTCGATTTGTTTATTCAAAATTAACTAATAAATATTTCAGTTTAGAACTAAATAAATAAAACGTTTTCCGTTCTTTAAATACATTCCAAATTCTTTTCTTTATTATCAAATTCATCAAATTCTTTTATCCGATCAAGTAGATTTGTTTGTTTATTCACTTTTTATATAAACCGTCGACTCGATTTTGTTTACATTTCTTGGGGGAAAAAATTAATCACCAATGTATAAATTTCCATTCGGCACTTTTTTATCACATCACCTGCAATTGTAGAGATGGTTTTTTCGTACAGATCTTCTGAAAAATCCTTTGCATCCATCACAGGACGAGGCCCCGTAATGCTTCCCAGTGGCTCTGTCTCCACATATGGCACATGATTGTGGAAAATTAGGCACAGGGGTATTACCACCGACTGATAGAGAACCTTCCCCCATTTCCCCATCCTCAACTGGAACACAAAATGTTTTAAAAATTAATAAAAGTTTTTACAGTAATACAATTACCAAAAGAATTTATTAGTTAAAATAAATTGGAATAGTTTAATAATTCATAAGTAAGGTCTGCTCTGAAATGCAAAACAAGCCTGGATTAATCACATCTCCATATAATTGTATAAAAGTTTATTAATAAATTGAGTAAAATACAGTACATTTCATTTTTATTTGCACGCTGAGAAAAGCATCACCTACTTATTTTGTCGTTTGTCTTTTTACAGAGATAAGTAATAAGGAAATAATTGCGATACAATATCATTTAATGCAAGAAAAAGTTTTTCAATCTTTCACATCCCTTAAACATAATATTTTTTTGCGTTTGACTTCTTGTAAACAAAACCTAACAGGATGATTTATAAAACGCTTACCAACATAACAACATTCTTGAATGTTAAATATCCGTTTTTCCTTCATTTCTGCAACGAAGATCTAGGAGCTACCGATTGCATACAACTGGAGTTTCTTTTTGTTGAAATAGTGTTTTGACATAGTTAGAAACGTTCACAATAACAACTCTTATCTGTTCTTGTAAGATAATATTCTTGAAAGGCTTAATCCATTTAACTCTTAGAATTTATCCTTATATCGAATTTGATAAAATTTGAGTTTATTAATTATGATTGGCAGCGCTAAAATCCAGTGGAACTCAATTGCTGGGTATTATCTAAATTTATGAACAATTAATCATACATGGTCTAATTATAAAGTGTACATAGAATCATTCTCTCTCGAAAACATATATGAATTTGTATTTTGTCGAACTTACAGAATATTCTCAATTGATCTATTAATAGAATTATAGATAAAAAAATATTCAAACAAGAGTTCTCTGTATTCAATAATCAAATCAAACAATGTTTAAAAATATTAACAAACAAGAAAATGATTTTTCTCGGCAGCAAACCGAAACGTTTTCAGATTACGTATTAGATTTATGTATATCAGAATGTGAAAGAATTTGATCTTAATAAGCTGTGAATTACCCAGTTGATTTCAATGTAAATAAAATTTATTGGTTCTTTTAGCATAAATTTTTTTGTAACCACTATTATCTAACAATTTTTAGAGATGTATGTATTAAAAAAAACTTTTAATTGGTAATATTCTTTTGTTCATAGACACAACAAATAAATTAAAGAAATAAGCTTTTAAATTTAATATAGGATATTGTAATATAAATTTTTTTTAAAGAATTCATTCAGTTCATGCAGTTCATAATAAGATTGAAATAAGCAAGTAAAAAAAAAATAAAAAAAATAACGTCTAAACATATTGAAATCACATTGTGTTATTATGAATAATAATGGATTATTATTATTGTTAACTTTATTACATTGTCGTTAAGGGGTAGCCACTTCTGCAAGAGAGATTTCAATTTGTACACGCATTTCCTTTTCAGGAGAGTCTTTAATTTCTGTGAAAGCATCGAACTGTCGTTATTTTTTTCCAGCCTTTTGATATATTGGATGTCTTCGCCGATTAATTTAAATGTGAACTTTTTACGTGCTAATGATTTTAGGGTTGCTTGATTATCTGATCTTATGAGGATGGCCGCCACCTAACGTACTGGCAAAAAGTATACATTTTTTGTAAAGTATTACTCGCTATGATTGTTCACCTAGGGTTGCTCTAAAAAATACAAAAATAATTGATTAACTATTATGAAGGGTTTTGGAGGAAATTGTATAGAAAAGGTGAAAACCTACAACTTTTCAGGAGAAGCGATTTTCTGATCGAGCTCAATTTTTTCCATTCTATTGTATCCAATTGAAAGTTAAACACAGATTCTTGTTGAAGACGGTTTTTTATTTGGGAATAGAGACGATTTCTTCAGGTAAGACATACGAGAATACTTGATTAGCAACTTTCAAAAAAATATTTCATTCACTTCTAAAGCTTGGAATATCATAAGACGAGTTTCATTCTGTACACAAACGTTTTACTTTAATATAAGAAAATATTAAACAAATTTATTTTTTCGTACCAAAAACGGTCGCTACAAAACTTTTATAACGATTTTTCCATTTTCAGTCAAATATTTGTTATTACCAGTTGCGAGCGTGGTACTTATAAATATGGCTCGATAGTACCGATACATTTTTTTAATCATGAATTGAAAAAAAGAAAATATTTGTTTGTGAAAAACAAGTTTTTAATTTGTAGTACTAACAATGTAAACAACAGATTATCTCATCAATTTTTTTATTTATGATAACTATTCATTATTTATAGCTGTGCCGTTTGTAAAAATAAATTTGCCAATACCGATTCGTAATTATTTGTAGTTATTATCATAAATTTGAACAATTTGTTTACTAATTGAGAAAAAAAACGGCCCTGTCCTTTAAGGACACAGCACATTGATGCTGGCGATTAAATGTATTTACCCGGTTTTAATTAAATGTAAAAAAACAGTAAAATTGTTATATTATGAAATACAAATGTATTGATGATATCAAGAAATTAAAGATTATATCCGATCTTATCGAACCATCACGCACAAACATCGTGGCGTTGATTTGTTGTTGACTGTCGGTATACTTGGTTGATATAAAATAAACGTAATTATGAATCTGAATTTTCGTCTTATTGACCTGATTTGTCTACGGATATTAGAGAAAGTAGAAAACAACCAAAATTGTTTGTTTCTGAAATAAAAATTAGATTTTTAGTTACGTTTTAGTTTAAAATCGTCAAAAATTAGATTTTGAAGAGGTGGTAAAGCCTCTATTCAACAAGTTTACAGGTTATTTAAAAAAGTTTAATTATCACCTGACATAGATTAGATGAAGTTTATCTATGTCATATCAACATTCATTGAGTTTTTATAAATTATTATGCGTATCAATAAACATCATCGGGTTGTCCGTTGCCTTTTATTTGAGGTTGGTGAACTCTTCCAACATAGTTGTCACTGCTTGGAGAAAATGCAAGGGTTGCAGATCCTTCACAGCGAAAATAAGGACTCTGCCTCGAGAAAAAGCGACCGCTTAGGCGGAATGAAGAGAAAAAATAAAGGAACGAGGCTGTCAAAAGCAAATGGAATGTCCTGAATGTCATAAACACGCATTTAAGTAGATATAAAAGTTTTAAACATTAATTACGATATTAATCATATTTGAACGCTTATTATTTCATAAAAAAAGTATTCAATTCTAAAAATCATTTTGATCTGTCGAATTATTTATTTTATCGATTAAATAATTAAGTTTTATTTATTACCAAAATCTTCGTCATACTGGCAAGAAATTGAATTGACAAATTATTCGAATTGTCCGACAAGGATATTGTTTATTACCTGTACTTTTTAACATCTACACGGCTACTAATAACTCCTGGAACCATTTTCAATGTACTTCTGTTTGCGGCCGATCAGGTAGTTATAGAAAGAGCAGAAGTAGATCTACACACTTACCCCACCATCATCATTTCTAAACCTAACTAATGCCCTTTGAGGTGCCAGTGCGATTAAAATCACTGTAATAAACGAAATAGTGTCGCACTTCGCCTTCCCCGCGCTCTGAGCTATGAGTGGGACAATGACGTTGGCAACAAAGGTTGGACGGTTCAGAAAAAAACGACGTGCTCACGTTTTACACAGTTTAGTTAGTTTCAGTTAGTCTTACAACAAATCCGAGCAGTAAAATTTAAATTCTGACTGAAGGTCAAGGAATTTTACTTTGATAGATCCGATCATTTAGGAAGCTTTCCGAGAGGACTTTGAAATATTCTCGATCACGAATGAATGAGCGAATCAAATAAGGATTAGAAAGAAGCCTTCACACTTGGGTCCAATGGACTAATCCCGACTAGTTGATTACAGTGTTCGACTGTAATCCAGTACCGACGGGATAGAGGAAGGCACGACAACGGTGGTTGACGTGAAGACGGACGGCTGCAATCCCCGAAGTAAGGAACACGAATAACGTGAGAAAATAGAATGAAACGTATTTTATTCTGTGCGTTTTATGTAAAAACTAGATAAACACATAAAAAAGGCAACGGATTAAAATGAACAAGAGCACTCTTACAAATCGAAGATATGTTTTTTCTATAGAGATGTAGACGTGAAATTGTATTAGCACACAACCCAAGGGGGGCAGGGAGAGTGAGTGAATGAAAGAAAGAGAGAGTGTAAGAAAGAGAGAGATGAGAGAGAGGAAGCAAAAAGCAAGAGAGTGAGAAAGAATGAGGAAGGGGGAAAGAGAGAGGAAAAGAGTGAAAGAGGAAGAAAAAGAATGGAAGAAAGTGAGAGAGAGAATGAGGGAGAGAGAGAGAGAGGGTTGAGGAAGAAAAAAGCAAGAGAGTGAGAGAGAATGAGAAAGGGGGAAAGAGAGTGAGAGAAAGACAGAGGAAGAGAGTGAAAGAGGAAGAAAAAGTGGAAGAAAGAGTGAGAGGGTTGAGGAAGAAGAATGCAAGAGAGTGAGAAAGAATGAGAAAGGGGGAAAGAGAGAGAGAAAGACAGAGGAAGAGAGTGAAAGAGGAAGAAAAAGAGTGGAAGAAAGAGTGAGAGAGCGAGAGAGAGAGACTTCCGCAGGTCGTGGGTTCGAGTCCCAATCCTGAAACTAATTTTTCAGCTCAACCATATTATGGTTGGCACGATAATTAATAATACGGAACGTTGATTATTATTCATTTTACATGCCTGATTGTCTTTAAATTTAGATTTTAATCATAGAAGAAATAGTTCCAATTGCATATGCAATATGAATTGAAAAGCAAGTTATTATGTCCACAAGCCAAATCCATTGTGGTTCGTTTTGCCTCCGTTCAAACACTCCAAAATATTTTAATTAATTATTTTTATTTAAACGCGCTTGTTTTTAATTGATAGTAATCGAGATTCGAATTGGAAACGTCGCTTCGTGGCTAGAAGAATCATCATTGAGTCATAAGAAAATTTCAATTTCGCTTCGACCATCTATTGGCAAGAGGTGATTCACAGTTTTATATC